GCAGCATCCCTCCAAAAAATACACACACATATACAACAATCATAACCATACAACTAAAACAAAATAATATCATAAACAACATATACAAAATTCATCAATCAATTTAGCGCAATCTTTTCTCTCTCCACAAACACATCATCATCAATTCACTCACTTCAAACAACCCCACACACTCTCTTTCATTCACATAATACACAATATATATACTTAAACTCATATATCATATAACTTATCAAAATTATCAATCTAAAAAGCCATCATTAAAATCGCATCGCTCAAATCTTTTTCACTCATCAGTCACGCCAATATATATATCTCACGAACAGTGGCTCGCGTTTTCACAATACTATAAACTCTATAATAGCCCTCGCTAGTCCAACCACCAAGAGCATATATTTCCATTCCAGCAGGCATAATTCAAATCTATCCAATTACAGCATCACGCATATTATACAACCTAACCTAACCTATCCAAACCTATACTAACCTAACCTATCCTAACCTAACCTAATAATTCATCCACAACAACTTATTTATATTCTATTGTAGAATTATGTTAACTCAATCACTGCTGTGTATATCAGACAAATTTCTCTGTAAAGGAGTTTTTTTATAAAAGGCATGGAGTATGGAAACTTTCCATACTCCATGCCTTTAGTGGCAAACCAGTCATTTTCAGACATTTTTAGAATTGTTCATTTTTAATTTTATTATTTCTTCAAGATTTAAACCAATATCTTATGTATGATAATGCTAGTATCCATGAAACATCATCCTACTTGTACATGCTGCTGCTGGTCTTCACATTAGGACTTATAATTGAACTTGAAGGAGAGTCTAAAAAACTCTCTGCTTTGCCACTATGAATTTATTTGGAAAGGCAAGGCAGGCTTCGAGTGAGGCTTGTCATGATAGAAAATGTCGTTTTGTTGGTGATTTTTGCATGTTGGAATTTTAGAATTTTGGCATTCTAAATGCCATGTAAATAAGTTAAAATAACTAAGTACTTATGTACTTTAGAAACATGGCAGCCAAAATAGGAGAGCTTGCTCTGAAGCCAGGGTGCAGAGGGTCGATGCGGCATAGCAATATATGAGTTTTTAAGCCCTAAGCGTCACCGGGTAATTTTAAGATGCGTCGCTGGGTAATTTTTAATGAAAAGCCATTTACGCTGAGACAGTCTGAGTAATGAAAAACTATTTACAAGCCACAAACTTATTTACAAGGTTTCATGCACGATTGCAAGTGTTACCCCAAATAACTAATTTTACCCTAAAAACAGTCTGATTGTACAGCAAATGTCAACTGAACATGTTATAATGCAGTCTGACCGCTCTAATGTGACCGCAACTACGTAATCGTAAACTTGATGTTTACATTTTTTTGTCCGGAACTCATCGCAACTGATTTCCTGACAAGCTTCACTGCATCCTGATCCATCCAACATACCGGTAACCTTACTTTTTTTTAAATAGTTGGCCAAAGACTGACAAATATATTAAATGCAAGAATTTCAATCTAAATGTGTCTGCAAGATCTGAAGGTGTAAATTTTGCTACTGAAGCGTCACCAAAGATCTTGCAATATTCATCCACTCTCTGCACAGTGGGTCTGAAGACTAAGTGAAGAGCCTATTCTCACCCACAGTTTCCAGAAAAATCTGCCCAATATTCCATAGCAGGCCCTGCAAATGGAGCAAGATTCTCTGCAGGAGTGCACTGCAACTGCATTGCACTGCATTGCACTTGCAGCACTCCAGCATCCAAGTCACAGCCATTTCCTTGACATTTAGGCTACCACTTTTATACCTGTAGTTGTAGTGCCCTCAAGACTCAAGTTGCCCCAACTCCTCCTCAAGTGTGGAGTGCTCCAGCTGTGATGGCGGAGCTAAATGACCAATCACTTCCTCGAATTCCACCATGTATCTAGAATTGATGGTATGCAAGCATGGAAAACTTCTAACCTTAGGGCCGCAACTAGAGGCTTAGAGCTTTCCAACCATTTTCGGAATTGCGATATTTCTGCCAGATGAATTACCTCTTATATAATTGTTAACAAAAATGCACGATCGGGCCGCAAGATTCCAAATGTATAAAAAAATTTTCACATTGAAGCCGCGAGATTTCAGAAACAAGTAGGAAAATTCTAATCCTGATGATATGTATTGGTCAACGGCCCCCTCAGCCACCTAACTGCAAATTGGCTGCAATTGTTAAGTATCATTGCTTACATGATTACAGTACACTGACAGTGACATTACATTGGTGATATACTATTATTATTATAATATTATTTATATGCATTTTGCCCATTTTGGCCTTGTTTAATTACCTTTGGCCACTTTGATACAGGATTGGAATTTTCATACCTGTTTCTGAAGTCTCACGGCTCCAGCGTGATGAATTTTGAATATATTTGGTTTGAAAACTTGAGGCCCAATTGTGCACTTTTGTTAACAATTAGATAGGAGGTAATTCATCTGGTGTGAATCTTGCGGTTCTGCAAATGGCGGGAAAGCTCTAGTCATGGCTCTATAGGGAGATGTTTTCCATGCTTGCTGTGATAGGTGGAGGAAAGGCAAAACACAGAAACAGGACTTCTGAGGGACCTGTGACTGCTGCTGCACCCACTGGTGAGGTGGGGGCCGGCACAAGCAGCGCTTGCTTAGACATGGGATGTTCTAACCACATTGGTCAGCCCCACTCAGGGAGGAGGTGCTGCTATGTGCCTGAGATAAGGTTTGCAATATGTCCTTGTACAATACAGTACATGGATGTTACATATGTAATATACTAATAATACACATGTTTTAACTACATAGTTACCTTTGGTAGTTACCCCAGTCCCAGTGAGTGGTGCCCAATGGAGTCCAGCCTTGATGGTTGGCAACTTGGCCAGCAGAGCTCCTTCCTCATTGTGTACAACAGTACAAGGAGTCTTCAAAATGCTCTCATAATAAAGAGATTACTTCAAATAATATGCTAATATTACTTATAATCAAGCCCAAGGAAGCTCCATTGGTGCATCCTATGATGAACAGCGCAGCTGTGCTATGCCACTTTCACTTTTATTCAACATAATTTGATTGCCCTTTGTAGACGTTCTCTGCTAGGATGTCCACGGATCAGGAAGACTTTACAAAAAAAAATTTTGATCATTTTCACTATTGTACTGTGATATTTAAGGAATTATATGAAAGGTTTTGGCATTGTGTTGGGAAACTATATTTTTTTTTTCTGTTCTTTCACAAAGCTCCTCAAACATCCTTTTTACAACAACAATCTTTTGTTTTGTGTGCACATTCATAAAAGGCAGCCATCAATGCTAGTTTGAATAATAAAACTGCATTTTCAAGAGAACTACAAGATCTAAATTCAGGCTTGCACATCAGGATTGGTTGGTTTTTCTATTCATGGATGCTGATGAATGACTAGGTTGTTCTCAATGTTCTGGAATGTTTGTAGGTGATTTATTTGATACAGTTGGACTTGAATGTACTTGTTCTTGATTTGTGTTAATTTTTAATGGGACTTGTGCTTCTGTTAGCCAGACATTTTGCTAGAAATGTTGCTGTTGCATGAAATCGTTGGAATTTGTTGTTTTGAATTTGTCTATGGGAAAAAAGTTTTTAATCATCCTTTCACCTCAAGTGTCCAAAGAGGAGCCCTTTTCAATTGCGTTATAATATGTTCTATATGCATTTGGGTTGTGATGTTTGAGTTGTCTTGTTAACACGTTGGCCGCGATGTGCACCATATATGTACACGCTGTACTTCTCAGAATCGCGATGTGTACACATGTGGTACATTCATATGAAAAATACATATTTTTATAAAGTCTTATTACTCTTTCAAATTTAAAATTTCAATGATGCAATTAAACAGGCATGTTAGGGAATGCTTTGAAGTCAACTACTTGATGAGTTTTATGGACAGCTTTGTCCATCAGTGTGACCACAACAATGATGGACAGCTTTGGAAGAACAGAGATGACATAGGAAAAAATTACACGGATACATTTTGTAAATGCAAATTCATAAATGTGAAAAATGCAAATTAACAAAAAAATAATACTGTAACCATTATTTCTAATTTTAAAATTATTATAGAAAAAAATGGATGCTAAGTTCTGAATTTATAAAAATCTGAAGACTTTATATGTTAAAAAGATTGATTCCATAATCAAACTTTTTGTCTGAACTTTCACAGGTCACAGTTCAACTGTAACAAAGTATTTTTTTATAATTTAATCAATTTCAATTAATAGACTAATGATACTATTGATACTTTTAAATCTGACTGTTTTTACCTCATTGTTGCAAGGCACAAGTCTGTAACTAATAACTATAGCAAATGACTGTGGGACTGTGGAAGTGCTGTGACTGCTGCCTAATAAGTTAACAACTTAATATATAACAAGATACAAGTAATGACAAAGAAATTAAATCATCTAAATCTGATCACATTGTCATGTAAAATATACAATGTTAGTTCTTTCAGTAAATATAAAAATTCAAATTCTAACAATTGAATGATATTTTAAATATTCAGAAATTTCTATTTCAGTAAATTTCTATTATTTACTGACCAATATGATCCCTTTGTCTCCTGCAAAATCTGAAATACTCTGTTACTGCCAGACTGCCAAATGATGAATGCATGTCCACATCCTATGGTCCTATTTATAAAAGTCAATATTTTAACATTTAGCACCAGGTCCATTCTGCATAGTCACTGATTTTATCAAAAATCTCAAATTTCCATGAAATATATACTACCACTAACTGGCACAACATTCATGCTTTTGTTAACAATTATATAGTAAATATTATAATAACTTGATTAGCATTGGCAGGAGAGCTGGTTGTGGCTACATCTGCTCAGAAAGTAGATATGTCAATCACTATGTCAATTTAGTTTAACTACATCCTCATTCTTTATATAGGAGCTGAATAATGAACTAAAAAAATGATGAACTAATTGAAGTTTGTGCAGATCACAATTGTGATGAGATAACTTATATTTGGTTTGTGCAGATCATAATTGTGATGAGATAACTCATATTTGGTTTGTGCAGAGCATAATTGTGATGAGATAACTCATATTTGGTTTGTGCAGAGCATAATTGTGATGAGATAACTTACATTTGGTTTGTGCAGAGCATAATTGTGATGAGATAACTTGTATTTGGTTTATGCAGAGCATAAGATAGTGATAGTAATGAGTGAGTGTGAGTGGGAGGTGTTGGACGTGGGTGGAGATGATGAGACCCGTCAGTCGGCCACCGGTGCCGTGTCCTTCACCTCGCTGTACGAAGTTGTCAAGCTTGCTTACCTCCAGCCAGCCAATCCCTCCAGTTTCTCCAAGGTATTAGGTTGATTTAATTATATATATTATTCACATTTATAAACTAAATGGTAATTAATGTTTTTCTTTAATTTAATTTTTTTGTGTTAAATTTTCCTCAAAGTTGTTGAATTTATTTTTTTAATTTATTCTATCAGTTAACAAAAGTATTTTATGAATTCACTTCAATTCAAATTGTTATTTTATGCAACTTGAATGCATGTATTTCTGTGAATATTATAAAATATTTTAAGTATTTGTTGTTAGCTCCTTCTTACTCCTAAAGTTCCTCTGCCATTGCAGGAGAAATTACCACATGTGGTGAGCAGTGCGGCTTATGGCATGGTCTGCGTGGCACTTGAGAAGACCATCCTGCTCTTTGCGGAGAACTGCTCCACACTGGTGCTCCAGCTGCCTCTGCCTCACACCATAGACACTGTGAGTAGCTACACTGGTGCTCCAGCTGCCTCTGCCTCACACCATAGACACTGTGAGTAGCTACACTGGTGCTCCAGCTGCCTCTGCCTCACACCATAGACACTGTGAGTANACTGGTGTGTACTGTTGTGTACTGGTGTGTACTGGTGTGTACTGATGTGTACTGGTGTGTACTGGTGTGTACTGGTGTGTACTGGTGTGTACTGATGTGTACTGGTGTGTACTGGTGTGTACTGGTGTGTACTGATGTGTACTGGTGTGTACTGATGTGTACTGATATGTACTGGAGTGTACTGGTGTGTACTGATGTTTACTGGTGTGTACTGATGTGTACTGATGTGTACTGGTGTGTACTGGTGTGTACTGATGTGTACTGCTGTGTGCTGATGTGTACTGGTGTGTACTGGTGTGTACTGATGTGTCCTGATGTGTACTGATGTGTACTGGTATGTACTGGTATGTACTGATGTGTACTGGTGTGTACTGGTGTGTACTGGTGTGTACTGGTGTGTACTGATGTGTACTGATGTGTACTGGTGTGTACTGGTGTGTATTGTTGTGTACTGATGTGTACTGCTGCTGTCTCTTATACACATCTAGATGTGTATAAGAGACAGGCTCTACTGACCTGTAATTACTGCAGGCAACTGCCAGTGTCAGGTGACCTGCTGACTGCTGCTCTACTGACCTGTAATTACTGCAGGCAACTGCCAGTGCCAGGTGACCTGCTGACTGCTGCTCTCACTGACCTGTAATTACTGCAGGCAACTGCCAGTGTCAGGTGACCTGCTGACTGCTGCTCTCACTGACCTGCTGACTGCTGCTCTCACTGACCTGTAATTACTGCAGGCAACTGCCAGTGTCAGGTGACCTGCTGACTGCTGCTCTCACTGTGACCTGCTGACTGCTGCTCTCACTGACCTGTAATTACTGCAGGCAACTGCCAGTGTCAGCGCCAGGAGACGCCAGCAAGCCTGTGGTGCTGTCAGCGCACTGCCAGCAGCTGACGGAGGGTGCCTGCGCCCTGCTCTTCCTGACTGCCTGCGGCCACCTCATTAGGTACTCATTAGGTGCTGCCTCATTAGGTACTCATTAGGTGCTGCCTCATTAGGTACTCATTAGGTGCTGCCTCATTAGGTACTCATTAGGTGCTGCCTCATTAGGTACTGCCTCATTAGGTACTGCCTCATTAGGTGCCACCTCATTAGGTGCTGCCTCATTAGGTACTGCCTCATTAGGTACTCATTAGGTGCTGCCTCATTAGGTACTCATTAGGTGCTGCCTCATTAGGTACTCAGGTGCTGCCTCATTAGGTACTCATTAGTTACTGCCTTATTAGGTATTGCCTCATTAGGTGCTGCCTCATTAGGTACTGCCTCATTAGGTACCACATCATTAGCTGTCTCTTATACACATCTAGATGTGTATAAGAGACAGACTGTGAGTAGCTACACTGGTGCTACAGCTGCCTCTGCCTCACACCATAGACACTGTGAGTAGCTACACTGCTTCAGCCCTACACTGGTGCTGCAGTCATCAGTCCACTATATAATATATAGGCAAAATGGCTGTTGTTTAATGCATTAGACTTGCCATTAACATCATTTTGTGGAGCTACCATAAGAATATATGAATTGACCTAATAACAAATTATATAATTGTTTTTAATTTCCATTAACATCATATGAAAAGCTGTAATGAGTATATGTGAATTTATTTAATAATAAATTATCTAATTGTTGTTATAAATGTTGAGGTGATGTGGTTGGGAGGCCCAGAGCTGCTGGTGGCCACGGACCGCTGTGGTGCGCTGCACCTCATCCATGTGCCATCACACCGCCTCCTCATCACACGGTGACTCTCATCACCTCCTGTGGTGACATTCATGATGAATACTGCCTTTATAAAAGCTTTTTTGATATTTACAAGTGGTGACTCTCATCACCTCTTGTGGTGACATTCATGATGAACACTGCCTTTATAATAATACCTTTTTAGCGCATTTTCTTATTTATGGAAAAAATGCATTATTGTACCCACCATGTCCGTCCGTCTGTCTGTCCGTCCGTGACTTCACGTTTTCGTCAACGAGAAAATGTGCTCTCTGTCACTCACTGCAGTGAGTACTGAGTTATATTTTTTGATATATACAAGCAAACTTACAACCTCTTTGCACCAAGTGCAGTAATACTCAATAACTATTTGCCTGCTATTAATCTTATGTGTGACGCGCCCTCAAAGATTGTTTGAACCAGACGCCATAATAAATGCTTTGTAGGATAATATAAATAAAATAAAATATGAATAAATGCTCTGTAGAATAATATTGATATAATAAAATAAAATATGAATAAATGCTCTGTAGAATAATATTATATCGTGAAGCGAGAAATGTTTATGAGAAGCATGAAATTTATTAAGACATAATATTCATTTATGGAAGGAAGGTGAAACTCGTCTCCTAATATTCTCAGATCTTATGTCCTAATTGCAGCAATTGTTATAAATGTAATTGATAAATATTGTAATAGCTAATTAACCATCTCAACACGTACAAATGTCATTTTGGCATTTCATGTGTATTTATATATTTGTATTAATTTATACATATAATTAATTGATGTACCACATCATTAGGTACCACCTCATTAGGTATCACCTCATTAGGTATCACCTCATTAGGTACCACCTCATTAGGTATCACCTCATTAGGTACCCCCTCATTAGGTACCCCCTCATTAGGTACCACATCATCAGGTACTATCCATTGTAGCTTTCTTGATGATTCATATATTTTTTAATTTATCTTGCAATTCACCCATCCTTGTTAGTACCTGGCTTACATACTTACAATTCATCTCTTCATCATGATGATGTGCTGCTGATGTACTGGCGATGTGCTGACGATGTACTGATGTGCTGATGATGTGCAGGGTGAGCAGCATGGTGGTCCCTTGTGAATCAAGTCACGAAAAGTTCAAGAATCGGCAACAGGCCATGGGCCTATGTCTTCAACGCCGACACTTCTATTCTATTCTATTCTAAGTTGGTCTATTCTGCGCCGACACTTATATACCATACCACACTTGTGTGTTATATTAAATAATGACATTTTATCGTATATTCTTCAACAACTGTTTTGAAGTGCAGGAAATCATGATCTAACTATACCAAAAATTACGTCAATGATATTGTTTTAGTGACTACATTTTCTTCGACCTCCAGCTAACGTCTGCCAAGTAAAAGGCGGTTAGAACTGTTTGTAAATGGCGCCTGTTTAAAAAATTGTTTGCCCAATGCTACAATGGACAAGTCTTCAGAGGCCCGGTCCGCCAGGATAAACATTGACAGAAAAAAGTATGTCTGCTGGCGTCTTCTCCTCAACCTTTAACCCGCAATCTGGTAGACTCTATGCCTTTAGTGGCAGTTTTTGTGGCACGGTTGGCTTTGATAATGAGATCAATGATTTTAGACTAGTGTAGTAATTGTTGTTACCAACTTACTGGGCTGAGGCCTGAGGGCTCTAGCAGCACGGTTGGCACTTGCCCTCGTCGCGTTCAAGAACAGACTAGATAAAGCTATGGAAAAATATATGTTCAGATTTGAAATGCCTAGCACCTTATTGAACCCGGTGGAAGTTGAGTAGCTATTCATAGTGGCAAAGCAGAGAGTTTTTTAGACTCTCCCTCAAGTTCATTTCTGAGTCCCATAAGTAGACCAGTAAAGTATCCTGGATTAAAAAAATTTCACTTGTCAAAAAATTAGTGCATCATTGGTCATCACAAAATTGTGCATAGAATGTCATATATAGAATTGTGCACCAGTGACCAGGCATCATAGAATGAAAAGTAATTGACCTAAACTATGATTTATTTCTCTAAAACATATGTTGGTTGTCACTGAAACATTCCTTTCTGTTTCAGCCTAAATTCAGGTATGTTTTTCATGATTTTTTTTATAGTAAATTCACTTAACTCAATTAAAATGGTGTGAAATTGCAAGCTGTCCTGTAAGCTTACAGATACAGAAAAAATGCTATAAGGCTGCTGATATGAACTTGAAGCTTGTAGTTGTAGTGATTAGTGGACAAGGTTGTAACTGCTCAATGGCATGTTCATGGTTACGGTAATATTGCATCAATAATACAGTAATTAATGTATATGGTAATATATCAATAAAGGAAAAATAAGTAAAAATCACAGAAAATGACATTTATTCTACCTCTACATCATCTACAATGAAAGAGGAGGACTTCAGAGTACTGTTAGTAATGGATGAGTACGCTCTGCATGATGATGCTTCAAATGTTTTAAAATGAAGTTTTATTCCAAGTGTCCCGAGTAGCCCCATTCGACAGGGCTACTCGGGACACTATTTTTTTGCTTCTGGCACCTTACGAATAGCATATGAAATATTTTTGGAAAAGCCATGTGAAAGCACTGCAAAGAGCTTTGAAATGAGCCCAAACTTGTTTATGAAATGTTTCATGGTAGGAAGTTATGAATGAAAAATGTTCGAAATCGTCCCGAGTAGCCCCGGTTGACGGTAGTGTAGTAATTGTTGTTACCGACTTACTGGGCTCTAGCGGCACGGTTGGCACTTGCCCCTGTCGCGTTCAAGAACAGACTAGATAAAGCTATGGAAAAATATATGTTCAGATTTGAAATGCCTAGCAGTTAGCACCATATTGAACCCGGTGGAAGTTGAGTAAAGCTATTTCAAACTATCGTCAGTCTTGAAAAGATCCGATCAAATGACACGATTTTAGATCTTCTGTGAACGAGGCACAAAAAGGAAAAGAATTGGGGACATGCCACATCAGGCCTACACTTCAGCGCCGGCTGCCAAGATCACTATATTATGTTGTGTTATGTTATGAGTTTTTGTGGCTTTGATAATGAGATCAATGATTTTAGACTAGTGTAGTAATTGTTGTTACCGACTTAGATACTTACTGGGCTCTAGCTGCATGGTTGACAGTGACTTGCACTTGCCCTCGTCTGATCATACTTCAACATAATTTATAAAAAATTGGTCAGAACTCAGAATCAGTATTCCTGATTAGCTTAAATATTGAACCACACAGTCTGATGATCTGATCTGGTATATCAGACAAATTTCTCTGTAAAGGAGTTTTTTTATAAAAGGCATGGAGTATGGAAACTTTCCATACTCCATGCCTTTAGTGGCAAACCAGTTATTTTTTAGAATCATTTCATTTTTAATTTTATCATTTCTTCAAGATTTAAACCAATATCTTATGTATGATGATGCTGGTAGGGTAAATGCGGTATATTCCGACACTTTAAGGACGTAGCAAAAAATGAATGGCTATAAAAAAATCACCGTACGCGCAACTCGAGTTCTGTTTGCCTTACGTCACTCTCCAAACACCTCACTACGTGCCAGCAAGGCAGCAACAATGAAACGTCACAATTTGTTGCCATATTTATTTAAAAGCCTTTAGAATGCAAACCTACCAAATTCATATATCTCGACACAGTGTGACACTGTGTGTGACTAAATTTGGCATTTTGTGAGACTAATTCCGGCCGCGCTTCAAACTCTACTAATTCATAATTCCGACACTCTTGTGTTCAAATTCCGATCGCTGTGTGAGCTGTATTGGAATATGACACAGTTTGGAATTAGAACACTATTGAATATTGAACACTACTTATTTAGGCTTTTAATAGGGCTATTAACACGTTAACCGCCAGCATGCAATATTGGAATTTAACCCTAGCGCCATGACTTCTAGGCGCCAAAATATCTCAGTAGGTCAGGAAAAGCTGCAAGGGAAGGTGTGTATGTGTTATACTCTCTGTCTAGTATCTTCTAGAACAGAGTAAACCATGAGACACATGTGGTACATAAGGATGTTTACAAAATCTTCATTTTTCTCCAGCGCCATGTGCGCCACCGGTGGTACAAGAGATTATGGTACACTGGTGGCTTTTATTGCAACAATAGAAACGGTACACATTGGATCATAATTATTTGGCCACCGGTGGTTGTAGTTTAGAGCTCTCAAAAAATATTTTTAATATTGTAGTTAG